TAATAAACAAATGTAGTAAAATGTTAACATTTGAGGATTTCAGTGAAGTATGTAGGGGATTCTTTATACTTTCTTACTTCTTACAACTTTCTGTAAGTCTGAAACTATTTCAAATAAAAGGTAAGTAATTGTACCTTAAGAAGCCGCCCACCACGGAGCTCCTGGGAGTTTCTCTGGTAACCAGTGGAGTCCATAGGAGATTGCAAATTGATTCTCCCCAGCTCCTCTCCTGGGCTTCTCTTCATGATGAAAATCACAATGGAAAGGGTAGCTAGGGAGCATAGGGACCCTTGAGACACGGGAGGAAGGAGCTGCCTCTTGGGCAGTAGCTATCAGTAGCTATGAGGGGTCTTCAGTTCCCTGAAGGGCCTGTGGATGTCCCCTTCAAGGCACACACATATTCATAACTACAAGCAGTGACAGGGCACCCCAAAAGGATAAGCCCGGTGTGTCCAGACACTGATCAGCATAGTGAAGGGGCTGGAAGGCATTTCCTGTGAGGAAAAGAGAGTAAGGTGGGGAGCTTGGGAGAAGGCTGGGTGGCCAGGGGAGGAGCTAGTTGGGGTCACATGAGAAACATCACATTTGTCCGTCTGTGAGATGGAAGAAGGCAGGTGAGCACTGCATGGAGGTGCGGGAGGCACACGTCATTCTACACCGGGGCTCCTGGTGTGGAACGTCATTCCTGCAGGTGTGTCCATTTGCCCAAACACCACCTCGGCAGCAAGCCCATCCCTGATCACCATTTATAAAGATGCAACCTCTCCCAGCAGCACTCCGTTCCCCTCTCCTGGCTACATTTTCTCCATCTAACATGCTTTTCACATGTTTGCTCCCCTCTCCTAAAATGAGCTCCATGAGGGTAGGGGCTGTTGCTGCATTTCCAGTGTCCAGATGGGGACAAGCCCAAAGCAAGAACTCCACTGCGTTTGTTAAACGCGTGAAGACAGCCAAGGATCTGCCTGGGAAATGACTAATGTTGGGTTCCTCATCAACCTTGGAAACTCATGGCTTTGAGTCCAATTTTGTTGGATTTAGAAAAGTAAACACCTGGAGATTCTGTGGACCAGAAAGGCCAAAACCCCTGTCCCAAAGGCAAACAATCTGGAGACACCCAGAAAGGTGGCTGCGGAGGAGCAGCCACGGAGCAGGAGGAAAGCCAGGAGAGCAGGAGGCCAAGGCCCAGGGCAGAGCGCATCTCCAATGGCTGGCAGCACCCTGGGAAGGGACGCTGGTTCCACACAACCAACCCCCTCATCTCCCGCCCAGTCAGCATTCCCCCTTAGAAAGCACAAGGAATCTAGAATTTAATAGATGTTTATTTGTGTAACTGGAACATTCAGGTGTATAAATAAGGTACTTGCCAATGTACAGTCCATCATGTCTGACACTGCGGTGGGGATGAGTCTACATGTATGGTCCAACACTGGTCAGAGGGTGCAGAGACGACGGCGGTGCCACAAGCACACGGATCTAGGAAAACGCCACGTCAGGTAAAGGGCAGAGCAGCTAGAAAATGCTGTGAGCCCCCTTTCTGGCCTGGTGTTCCTTGGCACAGAGCCAGCAGACCCAGGACAGGAACCTAACGGAGGTGAGACGTAAGCATCCCAGTAATCAAGGTCGGAGATAGCAATGCGGATGGTATCAGCAAACACCATTTCACTTGGGACAGAATCAGCAGAAGGCTCAACCCAGCGGGCCGTCCGAGCTCTACATCCAGGGAAGGCTGCAAAGGCCCGGCCCTGCCCAATGCGGGGCCTCTGTCCCAGTGGGGAGCCTTTTTCCCGCCAGATAAAAAACCACCTGGGTCTATTAGCTGTAACGACGAGGGAGCAAGCGCCAGCCCAGAAGGACGAGAGGGCAAGCCCATCAGTCCCCCCCAGCAGCTGCTTACGAACCACAACACGCTCTCCTGGTTCCTGCATGGCCACGGCTTCAGGGATTAACTGAAGGGGAGAGGCCATGAACACAGCGGCCTTTGGATCTGGTCTTCATTCCCCACTAACACCCAGGAAACAGTTCACAGTCCAGCCGGTCGTTCCGAGCTCTTACTATTCCAGTGGCTTGAGAATTTCATAGGTCCTCTTTGTCAACACCATTCCCTCAAAGTGAAGAATCCTCCACCTCACACACACACACTCCCCATCACCTTCCAGAAAATGAAATTAAGTATTTCCCACTCCGTCGACTGCCTGTTCTCCCTTCATTCATGAATCACCCACGTGGTTCTTTGCTAACCTACAATCCCACAGGAGTACCCCACACCATCTGCCCTCCGTGGTCACCTGCTCTCTCCTGTTAATACTTTTAAGAAAGCATGAAACACAAGGCCCCGACTTGTTAGGTTGTCAGGGTGTGGGCAGAGCTTCTAGGCCTCCTGTCTGTGCTCTGATCCGCCACAGAGGTGGCTTCTTTCTCCGCTCTCTGTGGTTGGAGCTGTCCACTCGTACAGGGCACTGCTGCAGGCTCCTGGCTGTGTGTGCAGAGCAAGGCCCTTGGCCAGAGTGGGAAATGGGGTCCTGAGCAAGTCACAGAGAGGCCCTCCCCGCCCCTGGAGTTGAGGCACCACCGGCAAGAGGAAAGTCCAGACCAGGGGCAGCAGGAAGTGGGAAGACCCCAAGCACACCATTCCCGCTAAGTACGAATTTCAAAGCACCCTCACTCCTCATTCCTTTCGTCAGGCTGGCCTTCTAAAGGAAGCACAGCACCCAGCCACCGTGGGGGGGTGTTAAAGTCGGGCTGCTTCTCCCAGGACAGTGCGGCCACTTTCCTGCATGCAGGGCAGGTGGCAGCGTAGTGGCCGAGGACTCAGTCTCTGGCATTACAGCAACTTGGGTTCAAATTACCAGCTGAGTGCACAAAAATAACTACCATTGATTGAGCACTTCCTATGTGCCAGGCACGGTGCTAAAAGCTTACGTGCATTAGTTCATAAAATCCTCACACTAATCCCACAAGGGAGGCATTGTTATCAGACCCAACTGGGCCAGAGTTGCACTTAGCAACCTCCCAGACCCAGGTCGGAATGAACCCAACACCTGTCATCCTAACCGCTGCACTCAGCCTGCCCCGTGGCCTCAGTGATGGTTTGTTCCAGCTGCTCCCTGAGCCCCTGCTGCAGACAGCACAGTGAGAGTCTGCCAGGGCTTACCGTCTTGTGAGGTGTCCACAACAGTCACCTGGACACCCCGGCTTCGGAAGAACAGGAACCCTGGGTACAAGTGGCATCGCCCCCCCCACCACTCCACCCTTTTCTCTGCACATAATCACAAGGTGGACACAGATGTGAGTTACCCCCAAAAAACAAAAGGCAGTGGTGACACAGGAAGAAGTTCCAGCAATGACTATCACATTGGCAGTGAAAATCACTCCCTTACAAAACTGACCTTCAGCAGGCTTCTTAGGGAGCAAGGCCACTGTGCAGTTTCTGAGCAGTGGTGCTCTTTGCCCTGAGTCATTCACATCCTCCCCCACCGACCCGTCCACACCAGGGATGTTCCTGGGCCTGCCAGGACTCACTGACAGTCTGAAGATCTGAACTCAAGGATCCACTCAAACTGGCCTCCAGCCAACTCAGCAACGAGCTGAGACTCAAATCACAGGTTTGCTTAATCTCCTTAAAACATACCTTTGGAATCTTCTTGCATAATGTAAGTCAATTTACAGGATAAGAGGCCCGGTGGGAAAAGATAAATACCATTGAAGTGGTTTCAAAGTCCACTTGTGTAAAGTTAAAAGTTGCATTTCACCCCTTCTGAAAGAGACACTAGTTTCAAACATACATTACAGAACTGTACAAGTCTAAATGTTTTAAATATAGTTACACTGTAGATACTAAAATGTTCAGGATATAAAACTGGCCCCCCCCCACAAAAAAATCAAAAAACATAAATAAGGCCCAGGCTGCCTTAAAAGGTTTTACTTGCAGGAGTAAAAGGTGTGTATGTCCGTGATGCTGAGGTGGCACGCGCACACAAAGGGAGAGACTTGGGTGTCCTGTGAGTAGTGACAAGAACTCACCAGGTTCCTCAGAAAAAGTAAAAATGGAACTGCCACTGGAACCAGCGATCCCACTTCTGAGAATATAGCCTAAGAATCCTGAAACACCAATGAGAAAGAATATATGCGCCCCTAAGTTCCTAGCAGCATTACTTAAAATAGCTAAGATCTGGAAACAGCCCAAGTGCCCATCAGTAGATGAGTGGATACAAAACTGTGGTACATTTACACCGTGGAATACTCTGTAACAGTAAAAAAGAAGTAACTCTACCCTTTGCAACAGCATGGACAGAACTGAAGAGCATTATGCTAAGTTAAATAAACCAGGAAGCAAAAGACAAGTATCACATCAAGTATCACATGATCTCACTCATATGTGGAATCTAATGAACAAAATAAACTGACAAACAAAATAGGACCAGAGACATGGAAGCATGGAGCAGACTGACAGATCTCAGAGGGAAGGGGGAGTGGGGGGACGGCAAGAGATTAACCAAAGAACTTACTAGTATATGCATATATGCATAACCCATGGACACAGATGATAGTGTGGGGAAGGGCGGGGGGCAGGGTGAGGGGAGAAATGGGAAGGGGAGGGCACAGCTGTAATACTCTCAACAATTAAAAACTCAGCAGGGAGGGTGCCCAGGCTCAGCCCTCTGCAGAAGAGCTCTGGTTGCTGTCACGCCCTTGTTCGTCAGCTCCTTTATATCACTTTTTATGAACTAACAGCAACTTAAGCTCCACCTGTCACAGGTCAGGCCTCCTAAGCTTGAGGGGAGAAATGGTGCAAAATTTCAGATGCACTAATGCCACTTTCACAAAGGCAAGTGGGGTACCTCGGAAGGTCGTTATGAGAATGTACAGGATTCAAACTGGAAAACAAAACAAAAATCTCTAAACCAGGCACAGCATTTGGCACAGCATTTATGAATACAAAGCAAGTGGGGAACATAAAGCCATGCATGGGAGTAAGAAACTGAATTCGCAACGAGGGAGGGCACAGTTTCAGTCACATTTTATTTCTCACACACACACAAAATGGATCTGAAGTAAGTTGTTCCATTAAAATCTGCACAGATATGTGTTAAAATAGTCTCTTGAATCTTATCTTAATGATGAAATATCACCAATAAATGGGAGAAAGAAAAATGTTGTGCTACATAGTCGCTGCTTTCCAAACTGCCCCCCGCCCCCCGGAAACTCCTCCTATCTCACCAGAGAGAATGTGGAGAACTCCAGAAACAAAAACCCCAGCTGATCCCGTGGCATTCTTGCTGGCAGCTCTGGTGAGCAACCACCTTCAGCTTCCCAGGACCCGCAGGACCTCCAACGTCCTATCAGCAACCACTTCCACAAAGCAACGTGCCAGGCACCCTGATCCCAAGGCAGCCCTGCTCACGAGTGACTCGACTACTGCTGGGCTCCCACTGAGATGCCTGCTCGCAAGGACCCCACCGTGCCCACAGGGGGCAGCATGAGACAGTGAGGTGCCATTCTGTCCCAGTTCAGGAGACCAAGTTCGTTCTTCAATAAGAAAACCAGGTTCATCACCTTAATTCATTGCTGAGACACTGCCTCATCTGAAGGATAAATATTTAGAAAAGACTGGCAAACAATTGCTCTGGGGGGCCCAGACATCACTCATTACCCACAGCTGCCTCTGCTGACATGACCTTACTCAGCCAGGATCATGGAAGACTGGAGTTAGAAGAGCTCAGAAAACAAGAACCCAGAGAAGGATTTGTCATGAACCACCCACGGTCCACAGCCAGGACGAAAGCCCAGGCAAGACAAAAACACATGTTGTTTTTAAAGGGGACTCGGAACTGAAGAATAGGAGCCACGTGCTGAAATGGAGTGAAGGTTCAGAGAGAGGCCACGTCAATGCTGTATGCATGTGGACGGTCGTGCAGTGACTGTGAGCTGAAACATCAAGCGGTCTACCCCAGGATCTGGGCCGCGTGTAAGCTTGGGGAGGCAGGAAGGCCGATTTAAACAGAAACAAAACAGACTAGCACCACGCCAGGTGCTACAGCGAGCCATCAATGCTCATTTGGCAACGAGAACAACCATGGCACAGAACAACTGAACACATTGGGGCACCGAGTTCTCTCTCCTGTACCCCCTTCCCAAAGTCACCCTCGTCCCTATAATTAAGAAGAGAAACAAAGTAAATCACAGTCGTTTTTTTAAAAATAAGGTCCCCCCGTAAAACACAAACTACACTTAACTGGTCACATTATATAAAAAGTGTGCATTTAATCTTCAGAATAGTCAAACCTCTAATTGGGTTGGGTTTTCCAGAGTTTTAAGCAGGACTTTGTGATTTCAGTGAAGAAGTCTTGGCAATTGAAATCACTCTAAGAAATAAGTGATTTTTAAAACACATACACAATACACATTTGCCTCTGGAGCAATATATATACAATACAGCAGCTACGTGGGTGGTCAGTCAGGCAAAGGGGCACAAACGAGAAGCCTTCTGCTCCCTGCCTAACGGGCAAGCCCCAGAGAGGATTCAGCAGCAGCCAGTCCACTGCACAAATATGAACACCATCGTCCCTGAAAAGACAGTGAGTGGACTGCCCCCTAGGAGCCATGTGAGCCTAAACATGGGGGGAGGGACTCGGTTACAGTACATGCTACTGTATACACTTGAAATATTACAGTGTGGTGTTTTCTACCAGACTATTATAAATAATGTTTCGTGCTCTCTCTCGAGAAAACTTCAGTCTGTGATGAAGTAAGGTGAACCCATATCATAAAGCAGAGCTCAGGTTCCACAGGATTTCATGTGGACAGAATGCTGATCTGAGAATAAGCCTTTGTCCCTCCAGCCCACAGCAGGCAGACGCCTGGAGCTCCAGGCAGGATTACAGAGTAGCTCTGGTGAAAGCTCTCCTGGCAAAGACATCCAAGCCGTGCACCTCCTCTCTGCTGTGGAGAAGGGGTAGTACAGGTATGGGGGACGCTGACGGGGTCAGAACACATGAACAGCCACTCCCTGATCGAGCCCAATTCAACTGATGAGACCAGAAGTACCTGGGCAAAACTGTCTCCCAGGTTTTTAAAACTTCTGTTTAAAAAACCCAAATAGTTTCACCCCCATGACTTCTTTCCAACTCAAAGCTATAGTTTACTCACAACCCAAATCATAAGCACATAGACTGTATATACAGAATTTTTTTAAAAACCCACAGATAAAAAAACACTCTTTGAAAAAATTAAAAAAAAAAAGACAGTGAGTTGAAGCCTTGTCATCATTTCAGTCACACCAGCTGGGCTGGCCTTGGTGCCCGCTCCCTCGCTCAGTCCTGCTCTCTCAGCCCTGCGGGGCCCCTACTAGTCCTCCGTGGCATCTGTCAGCATCCCCTTGTCGATCAGGTGAGACTTGAGTGTGCTGAAGATGTGGAGCTGCTGTTCTGGCCGCAAGTTCATGAACTGCTGAATCAGCTTGCTTGGGTTCGGGCCCCTGGAAGAGAATGTGATGAAATGCACTGATGGAGGCCCAGCAACTTCTAGGGCTGATTATCCAAGTGGCTGCTTCAACCTCTGGATTCTCTACTAAAGGGGCAGAGGGGCTCGAGAATCCATAAGTAAACAGTAGCAATGGAAAACTGCATTTATATTTGGAATGCTTTTCACTAAAACTGAGATATAGCTAAAATTCTAGACTTTCGCCCTATTTAAAAATCCACCAACTTGGAGCAGAGGGAAAGGCATGTACCTGATAAAACTGGCAATGTACACATTGACAAAGGTGGCCATCAGATACTGACAGTCAAAGCGATCCATGATGCCTCCGTGGCCAGGAATAGTATTGGCAAAGTCCTGTTAGAGGCAGGAGAAGAACTGGTGAGTCTCACTTAGCCATGATCAAACCCTGGCCTATGGTCCCACCTCAATGTCCAGCTATTGCCCTGAGTAGCTGAGAGAAACAAAGTGAGAAGTAAGCACTGACTCAAATGCTGAGGCTATAATAGGACACAATCTTAAGTTACAAAATGTTGTTTTTAAGAAAGAGGTAAGATATTAACAAATAAATGGAAAATCCAACTATTGAATTTTCCCGGAAACAATGTCTTTTTATGTAAGCTACCTAAATTCTGTGCGTGGGTGAAAGCACACATTAATAGCCTAGAAGTCTGAAGAGGCTGTAGTTGACGGGGTGGGGCAGGGGGAGGAAGGCAGAAGACAGGTTAAGAGGGCCTGGCTGGTAGACAATGAGAGGACAGAGGGTTTTCCTACTTTGATTTTGAAGGCTCGTTTGAATCCACTTGCAAAGAATCCTCCAAAGGGGCCGATGAGTGAGGCAAAGGTGGAGAGGGCAATGCTATGAATCTGGAAAGGGTACATCCGGACGATTTTCTGAGAAGAATAAATGAAGTAAAAGTCAAGATGCCTACAGGCCAGCCTTATTACATGTTAACATAAGTAACTCTTCATACAATTAACTATATTCCCCCCACACCCTTCCAAAAAACATAATTAGTAAGAAGACTGATATTTTTAAAAATCTCTAATGTCTGCTTAATAGAAGACATTAAGATATGTTCATTCATGAAGTTCTACTGAAGCTGGAGCTGAGAATACTGTTTATTGTGCAATCACTAAGATTATTCTAGTCTTAAAGGCCTAATAACACACTTAGTAGTCTTAAAGGCCTCGTGACACACTGTTATCTTAACTTCCTAGCGACTTCCATAGCCTATACCAGCCGTGGGCAAACTATGGCCCGCCGGCCGGATCCTGCCCGTTTAATACCCTTTGTAATAAAAAAATAAAATAAAAATAAAAAAAGATATTCTGCATTTAATTTTTTGATATATTGTTTTGGTTGAAGTATATGAAGAAAATCCAGCCTTACACAGATATGTAGTTGAGAAGAAGAAGAGTATTTTGGCACTATCTTTTCAGGTAATTATGGGTATTCCTTGACACTACACCAGAATTTGTTAAGTGGTAGTTCCTTACAGATTTGGTGCAATGTGAAACCTGAAATTCTATCAATGACCTTTTATACTCTTAAATTAAAATCCACTGGTCTGTCTGGCACTCCGAATGGGTCTTTTACCCACGCCTGACTGTGATTCCATGCACTGGCCGTTTAGGAAATACCCTTATGGGTTACGTCAACCTTCCATATGCAGGCACATTTAGCTATACAATGTCAAAACATTACATACTAAAGCTACCACAGATCTTATCAGAAAACCCTTTAAATATTAGGATGCTGTCAAACTCATAGAAGGCACACACTTTCTAAAATTCTATACTCACATGAAAGCCACATTTTTATCAGCATTAATAATTACTGTCAGCTGTTTTCCTCGAAGTGACAGGCTCATTTCATTCATTTTCAAGAAAAATGTCTGTCAACTATCCAGTCTAACACACTATAGTTTGTCAGTTCTTTTCAAGTAAAAATTGTTTCTATGAAAAAGCAGCTAGGTTCCTAGCTGGTTTGGCTCAGTGGATAGAGCATCGGCCTGGGGACTGAAGGGTCCTGGGTTCGATTCTGGTCAAGGGCACATGCCTGGGTTATGGGCTTGATCCCCAGCAGGAAGCAGCCAGTCAATGATTCTCATCATTTATGTTTCTATCTCCCTTCCTCTCTCCCTCTCCCTCTCCCTTCCTCTCTGAAATCAATAAAAATATATTGTCTCTCCAGGGGACCCAGTTGGGCCGGGCCAGGGATAATAGCACTAAGGCGGCAGAGTCGTCCTCAGTCCCACAGTGGCCACAAACCGCCTCCCAGGCTGCAGCCTGCGGGCGTCTGGAGGAGGCGGCAGGGAGTGAGAAGGAACCTGGGGCGAGAAGGCGACAATAGCAGCCTGGGTTCTTGCCCGTCGGCCCGGGGTTCGCAGCAGGAGCAGCTGCTCATCCTGGACAGCCAAGTGGCACTCCCACTGTGGTAACTCCTGCATTGAGTGTCTGGCCCCTAGTGGCCAGTGCGCGTCATAGCGACTGGCCGACTGGTCATTCTGTTCGTTCTGCCATTCAGTTGCTGGGCTTTTATTATATAGGATAGTTGTGACCTCAGAGACCCCCTGAAGGGATCTTAGGGTCCTCCAGAAATCCCCAAAGCAAACTTTGAGAATCACTGGTCCTAATGATTTGAAGTAGGAAGAAAAGTCTCCTCCTGTCCTCACCATAAACAGACTTAACAATTCTTCATCCTGGGGCCACAGCTTTGGGGAAGGGAAGGTGGCTTTTCTGAGTGGTGGAGAGAGGGCTCTTTCCTGCAGTCACTATCCCACTGAGGTTAGTTCCCTCCACGGAAGTGGCACATACCCAGCCAATGACCGACTGGATCACCTCAGGAATGTTGTACTCATGTAAGCGAAACAGGTCCGAGGGCTCACAGTCCACAGTGAAGCTGTTGGTGTCATTGTTGTACTCCACAGGGCAGACAAAGCATCTGTATCCAGACATCACATAGGACAGCTGAGGATGAAGAACAGAGAGACAGGCAAAGGAGACAAGTTTGGCCACGCTGCTTGGGCAGCAGACACCTGGTTTGGCCATGTCCCTTACAGTGCCTAGCACCCTCTAACTGCAAGCCACGCGCTGAATAAGAGGTTTCGGCTGAAACCGGTTTGGCTCAGTGGATAGAGCGTCGGCCTGCGGACTGAAAGGTCCCAGGTTCG